TCTCTTTCTCTTTCTCTCTTTTCTCCTCTGTTGCACTGCTGCAATAAAAATCTCTTGGTCGCTCTGAGTGTTGTGGTCACTTTCCTTTCAATTACCATTTCTGTTTTGTTTAGTTTTGGCAGGGGTGGGAGGCGGGTGAGTTTGCTGAGGCAAGAATAAGTTAAATGACTTGTGCAAGTTCACAGAACTAGCAACTGGAGGAGCCAACACATGAGTCCAGGTAACCTGGTTTTAGTCTGTTAATCCCTGCACAAGGCTGCTTCTCCTGCAGATAGCTTAGAGGCCATTGCCAAGGATGGTCACCTCAGGAGTCATCTAAACTGAGTGCCTTCCAAAGAGGCCAGTGGATGCAGGAAGAAGAGTAGAGATAGGAAATGTACTATTTTTTTTTTTTCTTCAGTGTTGAGGATCAAACCCAGGGCCTCATGCACATGCTAAGCAAGTTCTCCACCACTGAGCTCTATCTCTTGAGACAGGGTCTAAATTGGTCGCAAACTTGAAGTCCTCCTGCCTCAGCTTCCTGAGTAGCTGGGATTCCAAGCATGTGCCACCATGCTCAGCAAAGAACAAAACAGTTTTTAATTTTGGTAAAGTTCAGTGTATCAGTTTGGTATTCTATAGATGGTACTTTTCGTGTCATGTCTAATTCTTTTCCTAACCTAAGATCCTAAAGACTTTTTCCTATTTCTTCTACAAGTTTTACAGTTTTAGGTTGTATGTTAAGATCTATGATCCATTCTGAATTGTTTCTTATATAGTATGAGGCATAGATTCAAGTTTTGGTTTGTTTATTGCACATGAATGTGTATTTGCTCTAGCACATTTGTTTTTTTTTAAATATTTACTTTTCAGTTATAGCTGGACACAATGTCTTTATTTTTATATAGTGCTGAGGATCGAACCCTGTATGGTAGGCGAGTGCTCTGCCTCTGAGCCACAACCCCAGCCCCTGCTCTAGCACATTTGTTGAAAACGCTTTCATTCTTCAATGCATTAGCTCAGTGCTTTTGAAAAGTTTGCTTTCAGACTTTATTGTTCCTTTGATCTATTTTTCTATCATGTTGTTTTGATTACTATAGCTTTTACTGGGAATTGAACCCAGAGGCCCTCTACTACTGAGCTCCACTCAGTAGTATTTTGAGATAGGGTCTTGCTAGATTGCCCAGGTTGGCCTTGAACTAGTGATCTTCCTGCCTCTGCTTCCCAAATCACTGGGATTACAGGCACGTGTCACCACACATGGCTAGCTTTAGAACTCTTGAAATCATGAAGTATTATCTAACTTTATAATTCTTCTCATGAGTTGTTTTGTTACCACAGATGGTTTGCATTACCATATAAATTTTAGATTCATTTTGTTAATTTCAACCAAAAAAAGTGTAGGGAGATTTTGATTGTGATACATCATAATTATATATCAGTTTGGAGAGAACTGACATTTTAACAATGCTGTCTTGTGGCACACGAACAAGGTATACATCTCCATTTACTTAAAATTTACTTTTCTCAGCAGAATGTTGTCATTTTCAGTGCACAGACCTCTTCAATTTTTTATCAGATTTGTCTCCAAGTTTTCATATATTTGATGCTATCGTAAATGGTATTTTTATTTGAATTTTAAATTGTTTGTTGCTAGCATGTATAAATACAACTCATTTTAAAAAGTCTTATTGAGTTCTAATTCACAAGTAGTTTACCCATTTGAAGTATACAGTGGTTTTTAGTATTTTCATAGATAGGTACAACC